CGCAGGGATCTTCCAAAAAGTTATGAGAGCCGTAACTGGTTTGGCTCACTGGATAGAGCGTCGGCCTGCGGACTGAAAGGTCCCAGGTTCGATTCCCGGTCAAGGGCATGTACCTTGGTTGCGGGCACATCACCAGTTAGGGGTGTGCAGGAGGCAGCTGATCGATGTTTCTCTTTCATCGATGTTTCTGACTCTATCCCTCTCCCTTCCTCTCTGTAAAAAATCAATAAAATATGTTTTAAAAAAAAACACGTTATGGGAGGCTCTGAGGCAGCGGTTCTCAACCTGTGGGTCGCGAACAATGAAAATACATCCTGCATATCAGATATTTACATTACGATTCATAAGTTATGAAGTAGCAATGAAAATAATTTTCTGGTTGGGGTCACCACACATGAGAACTGTAGTAAAGGGTCGCGGCATTAGGAAGGTTGAGAACCACAGAGCCTGAGGGATCACAGGAGTCCCAGGGAATTTCTCAACACCGAGGATCATGGAGCACCATCAGGATTTTCAGCGGCCCCGAGGACTCACGGGGGGCCCACGCGACACTCCCAGAGGTGGCGAGGGATCACGGGGGGCCCATGAGGGCACGCTGAGGGGCTGTAGTGAGGAGTTCTGATGGATTCCGGGGTTCTGAGAGCCCCCCGAGGTCACAGAAGCCACACAAGTACAGAGGAGCCTGAGGACTCACGGGGACTCCACGGAGGGTCCGAGTGATTAGGGGAGCCCCATGAGAACTCTGGGGGTGCCCTGGAGGCCCATGGCGGCACAGGATGTCCTCAGGAACCCTGGCAAGTCTACGGAGGTTCAGAGGTTCCCTGGAGGTTCTGATGTGGCTCCGAAGAACCAGTCGCACCCCTCCGGGTGGGGCGGGTCTGAGGAACCGGGAAAACACCGCCTCGAGCTCGGGCCGTGGGGCACGAGGACCCGCTAAAGGGCTGAGAGGCACAACCGCAAAAGCTCCCGGGAACCTGGTCCAGGGGCGCCGGGAATCACGGAAGCAAAGAAGGGCGCAGTCGCGGAGCTGCCGCGGAGGATCACGGGAGTCAGCGCGCAGAACCCGCGCGGGGAGAGGGGAGAGGGGGGAGAGAGAGGGAGGGAGGGGCAGCGCCGGCCCGCAGGCCCTCACCAGCGCGCATGCGTGGCTCTCCGGCGCGGGTCCGTACTCCAGCGTGGCGAAGATCTCTCGGGTGCGGGACCCCGCGCGCGTGGCAGCCATCACCCGTCCAGACCGCTTTCCACCAACTGCCGGGCGCTCTACCCGAGGGAACTTCGAGGTCCGGAGGGCGGGGCCGCCCCCTCCAGGGCAAAGGGCGGGCCGCAGGAGATGGAGCGTGATCCAACCTTAGGACCCGGCGACCCCGCCCACGTAGTTTGGAGCATGCGCAGTCCTCACAGTGGGGGGAACGGAAAAGGAGAAATTGTGTGTGCCCTGCAAAAACGGAGAGTTCCAGATTTAGAAGGGTGGCCGTGTTGGTGTGTCTTCCCACCACCCTGTTCACAAAACGGCAGCTTTCGCCCCGAAATACATTTACTAGAGAATCGAGTCTAGCTCTGGGGCGAAGCGATAGGTCAGAGATCAGAAGGGAATCTTAGGATGGACACTGAAATGAGGGATTGACTGTCCCGTAACCTGCCCTGAGGAGGCTGTCGGGAAGGAGGGGGAAGTTTGCCTTTAATCGACAGCGGAAGTGTGGCATTAAGGGAATCAGCCTCAGAATCTAGTTTTGATTGGTTGAGGTGAGAGGAGGCGTGGCCTCGTACTTAGACTCTGATTGGTCAGTAGCGCGGTTGCTGGTTAAAGTACGAGCGCTGAGGGAGTCGGAAGTGTGGCGAACTCAAATTTCTGTTACACAGAGACCGGAAGAGTGGCTGTCATTTAAACATTTGGCGTGTTGGAGCATCGAGAAATACTGTCCCCCAACAGGTTTGACGACGGTACCTGATCTGAGTGGAACTGTAGCCTCCCGGCCAGATTCCTCGATTCTCATATACAACAGTGGGTGTCGGAGTCTATTGAGGGCCCGGGAAGCCGGCCCCAGAATTTCTATCCCAGCAAAGGCTCCCTCACGTCGGGGTTGCTGGGGACGCCTAGGTCTCTTCCCCGGGGCCATGGCGGACTTGAAGCTGCTGGTGCCGGAGCTGAACGAGGCGGAGGCCATGGGCGCCGAGACTGCCCGTTTCCAGGAGCTGCTGCTGCAGGTGCGCACTGACCAGGACTCCTGTGTCCCTGGTTATTTGGGGGATTCTTTTTTTTTTTTTTTCCCCTGAGATGGGATTGAAGTTCCCAGAATGCACTAGAGAGGCAACAGGGCTTCTGGGAATTGTAGTTGGTTAACTCCAAGTTTGCTAGGCTCTGGAATAAATGGGAGTAAGACTGGGGTTGTTTTTTGGGTTCCTCAAAGGAGGACAGGGACATAATATGTCTTATTCCCGGCGTGGCTCCTATCCCTAAACATTGCTCAGTAAACATTTGAGCAACAAATGCGGGTCTGATAGCACAGACCTCAAGCCTGGAAGTCATGTTCCTTCACCCAGGCCTCCAAGGAGCTCCAGCAGGCCCAGACGAGCAGACCAGAATCAACACAGATCCAACCTCAACCAGGTGAGGAAGGCAGAAACCCAAAGAGAGTGAGCGTTTCCCAGGGAGAAGTGGAGAGACACTGGGGTCAAAGGACACAGAGGAGGGAGGAAAGGGACATCATAAGAGGGTTTAGAAGCCTTGGTGGGGAAGTGAACAGAGACCCAGAGGGAGATCCAAAGAGAAGGGTGGGGGGAGGGGGATGGGAGTGACTAGGGGGACAGAGACTCCAAGATGGAAAGAGAGTCAGAGGTCCCAGGCGTGGGGAGGGGGACAGAACCAGAAAGTGGAGGACTGAGACTCAAGGAAGGGGACAGATGGAAGGAAGGACAGACTGGGGAGAGGACTGATGGAAATCAAGACCCACATGGAGACATGGTCAGGACCAACCCATTCCCACCAGGCTTCTGCGTAAAGACCAACTCATCCGAAGGGAAGGTTTTCATCAACATCTGTCACTCTCCCTCCATCCCTCCTCCGGCTGACATGACCGAGGACCAGCTGCTTCAAATGCTGGAGGAGGACCAAGCCGGGTTTCGCATCCCCATGAGTCTGGGAGAGCCTCATGCGGAGCTCGATGCAAGTCAGTACCCTTGGGGGACCCAGGACCCCGGCCCCCTAGGTCCTTCCTTCCCCAGGACCCCAGAATCCAGGGCCCAGGACTCTCCTCCTGCAGGCCCTAGAAACCCCCTGATCTGATCCCTTCCCCCGTGGCATGCCCCTAGCCTCCTGGGCCTGCTGCAGCGGCCGCCTGGGGCAGTCCTGGTTCTGCCCACCTGGCCAGGCTGGCACTTCTCTTTGCCTCCCTCCAGGGTGAGGGCGGGCGGGCAGGTGCTTTATTAGCCGATCTTCTGGATCAAGGCCCAGGCCAGCTCTCACCCTCATCTCTGTTTTCTCCTTCACCCTGTCCCCTGTCTCTATCCCTCTGCCCCTCTCACCTCTGTCTCTGTGGCATTTCTGTCTCTATGTCCTTGCTTGTTCCATTCACATATGTTCCCTGAAGCCTCCTGGGACCACGTTTTGGGTGGTGCCCCGGGGAGTAGGGACTTATCAAACCCAGAACTTGGGGTTTCAATACTGTGTGATTCTTGCTGCGCCGGAGGGGGCGCGTGGCCCACGTCAGGGAGGGCTTCCTGGAGGAGGAAATGTCCAACTTAAGATGAGAAAGAACCGGAGGGGTTCATCGGGTCAAGACAGAAGATTCCCCAGACTCACAGCCCCACAGCCTTCGCACCCGACAAAGCTTGATATTAGCCCCATGTCTCCCTCCCCTGGGGCCAGGCCAGGGGCAGCCAGCACGGAGCTGCTTCCTTTTTTTCTTTAATGGTCCTAAGTCAGCGGTTCTCAACCTTCCTAATGCCGCGACCCTTTAATACAGTTCCTCATGTTGTGGTGACCCCCAACCATAAAATTATGTTCGTTGCTACTTCATCACTGTTATGTTGCTACTGTTATGAATCGTCATGTAAATATCTGATCTGCAGGATGTGTTTTCATTGTGACAAATGGAACATAATGAAAGCATAGTGATTCATCACAAAAACAATATGTAATTATATATGTGTTTTCCGATGGTCTTAGGCGACCCCTGTGAAAGGGTCGTTCGACCGCCACAGGGGTCGCGACCCACAGGTTGAGAACCGCTGCTTTAGTGCTTTCTCCTTGCCTGTCTGAGCGGTGGGGCTGCCCCGAGGGCGGGGGGCCTCACCCCTTTCTCTCCCCGCAGAAGGCCAGGGCTGTACCGCCTACGACGTGGCTGTCAACAGCGACTTCTACCGGAGGATGCAGGTTGGGGGCGTGGCTGCGGGTGAGGCCTGGGCAGGGGCCGCTCCCTGTACCCTCGAGCCCTCCCGCAGCCCTGCTCCCCGCTCTGTCCTAGAACAGCGATTTCCTGCGCGAGCTGGTGATCACCATCGCCAGGGAGGGCCTGGAGGACAAATACAGCCTGCAGCTGAATCCAGGTGAGGGGGCCTGGGCGGCGTGGGGGCCGCCCTTGGGAGAGGCGGGCGAGTGTGGCTAATGGCTTAGCCTCTGGGCTGCGATCCTGGGGACAGTGCGAGGCTCCCCGGGGTGCGCGGGGTGTGTGGGGTGTGTATGTTAGTGCTTGTGGAGCGGGACCTGGCCCGTAATCTAGGTAAAGGGCGGGGTCTGGACAGCGTGGGAGCGGTGGAGTCTGAAGCATCTCCTAGGATCAGATTTTATTGGCTAATATTCCGGGAAGGGCGGGGACAAGGTGGGCGCGCTTCTTAAAGCCAGGCCTGGGGGTGTGGTCAGGTCCCTTGCCACCTCCACCCGTCTCCCCTCCCGGGAATGTTAGCCCCCCCCTGGCGCTTCGAGGAGGTAAGGGAACCCTTACCATGTGACCTTGACCCCCCCCCCCCCCCC